GCGCGCGCGCGGGGGCCATCCCTCGCACGCCCTGGCGGTGAATGCGACCTGTCAGGCAATCCCCGAGCCCTCCTGCTTCTGCTGTCATCCCTCTCCCTATCGGGATAAATGGGATGCCTGTCTGCACGAGAAGGATCGACCCTACCGGGCACATCTGGCAAAGCGTGATCGACCAAATCGACACCTCCGCCCGGTCTCACCGGAAGGCCAGTACCCCGGCCATTACCTTCTCCGGGAGTGGGCGTCGGAGACCTGATTCTGTGTCCTTGCCCCGCGAAAGCGTCGTATCCGACGTTCCGTCTCTCTCTAGGCTGTGGGGGATTCGCCTGATTGTCCTGGGCACCCTGAATAATGACAGCAGCTTCATCAACATGACCTTCGATTTCATAGAGCTGAGCCATGATCCTGTTGTTCATTCCATTAAGAGTACGCATGTTACTCTCAACAGTGCTGATCCTCCGCATAGCGCCCTCAAGCGTACCCCTGAATGAGTCAATCTCACGCCTAACGGCAGACCGTGCTTGATCACTATTCGCAGGGAGACTGCGGATCTGTCTTCTGATGTCATCAAGAACTTGATTCAGAATTCCCGAACTCGCCTCGTACTGCTCAACACGGGATTTCAAGGTTTCAAACCTTGCAAGGACATCGTCATGGTCCCCATGGTGGCGTTGAGCTCCACGGGATAGATCCTGGATCTTTCGATTGACTTCGTCAATTGCTTCATGCCAGTCCTGCGGGGATACGGGCCCTGATGATCTATCGATCGCCTGTGAACCCCTTCCACTTTGCAGCCTCGACATCCGATTAGCGAGAAGGGTTTGCTCTTCATTGATGCCACCAATAGATTCGGAGGCCCACTTAGCAAACTTCTCGTGTTCGAGGAGAGCCTTCTCGAGCTTCAGGTTTAACTCCCTGAAATTCGCGTTCACCACACTGCTACTGGCCCTATCGGACGGTTGCGCGACAGGATTCAAATTCCATTCACCTGCCGGCGTCCGCATCCCGACGGTCTTCTCTACCGAGAACATCCGTTTCTCGAGCTTTTCCAAGTCCTTAAGGATCTCATCCTCGGAAGCAGCATGGCTCCTGTGGACGGCCTCACGATTCTCTTGAATCACCTGACGAAGCCGATCAGTCGCGGCCTCATTGTCCTTAACAGATTCGTGAACCTCGTGGGAAAGTAGATTAATCCTCTGCTCCACGACTTCAGCCTGTTCATCGATGGCTTGCCTCACAATGGCTTTGCTGTCGGGAATAACTTCCCTTGCAAACCGCTGAACTATCATTCGCATCCTCCCGGCATCAGATTGAGTCGCAACCTCAGCTGCCAGGCGATCGACCTTGTCCTTCGTCTGTTGACTCTCGTCGCTCCATTCCCTTCGCATGGAACTCACTTGACCATTCAGTAACCTGATTTGGTCAGCAAAAATATGGAACGCCTTCGCGACTGAGCCAGAAACCTCACCCCTCTCGAGCATCTCCTGGATGTGCAAATCAAACACCTCCTTTGCCCTAGCGTCACCTGATTCGCCGGAAGACTGGGATCTGAGGGCGGGAGGAGTCGATATCTCGATCCTCTCAGGAGCCCCACTAGCCCCGGCATGTCTTCTGGGGTCATCTACGGGACAATTATCAATCCTGGATGGTCTACTCGGGGTAGATCCCCTTCTCCGGCTATCGCCAGATCGGGGATCAATGTTGGACGCACGAGACTCGGGAGTAGAGTGAATGTGAACATCAGCAGGATCAGGCATCTCCTCATCCTGCGGAGTTGAATCCATTGGTGAGGGGCTAGCCCTCCTCGCCTTTGACCTATCGGTCTCAATGGCCAGGGGTGACGGTCTCTTCGCAGAAGCACTACGTTCCCTGGCGGTCGAGCCCCACTGAGGTGTGAACTCGTTGCTAGACCTAAGTGTTTCAAGGTCACTAGTATCTCGCCCTAACGGGCTAGCGATCGACGGATGATCCTCGATTCCGAGTGCATCGGCAAGCCGGCCATCTCTTGCACCTTTCCCAACGACATCGGCAACCCGCTCAGTGATCCTCGGCGAACCAGTAACCCGGTTCGAGTTCACGTCTCTCTGATCCAACGGACCTCCAAAAGTAATGTTGGGAAAAGGGGGAACATTCGGGGTATCACCAATCGCCGGGGGACCTACCGGTCCCTCACGGTCATGGATAGCCTCCAATCCCCGAAGAACTTCCCGACTGTCCCTGGCTCTCTCTCTCTCGCTTCGGGCGTCCCTGTCAACACGAAGGTCCCTGGCGGCTCCACGAGAGAGGCTCCTGGGCCTCGCAGCATCACGGATCCTAGCATTTCGTCGTGATTGGTCCTCCTCCTCATCACGGCGATCCGCAAATGCGGCATACTCGTCATCATCACCGACCTCAAACTTGGCAGCGGCAGGGCTAGTCCTTGCAGCCGCACGGTTGCCTGCATTTCGGCGCGAATGGCCCTCCTCCTCATCCGCAAAATTGTAATCTTCGTCATCATAAGACTCAGATTTGGCAGTAATAGGGTTGGGCCTACCGGCATCAGATCCCTGCTTTGAGCTACTGCCCCATCCTGCGGTCGATTTCAACAGATCATCGTATCCGAAGTCTGAGAACTTCCGCTCCTCGTGCTCATCAAACTGACCTGGATTCTGAGAACCAGTGGATCGGCCCGGGATACCTCCCGGAGCCAGAACCATAGTCCCTGGTCCCTGCGGCCTATTCTCAAACTCATCCGAGACCTGCGACTCACCTGGAACAAGAGATCTCGGAGGTCGAACCGGCATGGCCTCCGGGTCATCCGAATGAGGGCGGGCCATGTCCATCGCCATGCTGATGAAGTCAAAATGTCCACGCCTGTGACCTGATTCAGAGCCACTCCTATCGGAGTAAACCCTTCGTGTCTGCTCGTCATCAGTGGCCTGGCGGAAAATACGATCGTCTCCATCGTCGGCGTACCTGCCACGGCTCCTGGGTGTATCCCTACCGGGATCTTCACCCCTGCGGTCCTGACCTGTTGAACCTGCTTCGAAATCCTCGTAGTCATAGTCCGGTAGGTCCTCACCTGAGCGGAGGCCACCTAGGATGGCCTCCTCATCCACGACGCTCCTTCGAGATCGTGGGGTCGACATAGAGCTTGTAGTTGATGGTCTCAAGCGCGTAGGAAAGTCCTACGGCTGATAACCTGTGATTCGGGCACGAGCCTGTGCCCAGGCAATGGGTAAGTTGGGGTAAACAAGCCACAAAAGAAAGGTTCCCCAAAAGCAAACCAATCCCCGGTCCCAAAGATCAGGGTTTCCCACACACCAGAGAACAACAACCAAAGGAAAACAAACCAAACAAGAAAAGGGTTAACCCGCAACCTTGGTCGACAACAGGCCGCACGACTGGTCCCTACCAACCTGGCGGCGGCCCGAGGTCTCTTTCTCCCCCGAGATGCCGTCGGTCGACGCAGGGGTTCGGCGACGCCCATTCGAGGCGCGACGGAACCCAAAACTTGAGCCAAAACACCACAGGTCGGTCACTAACGCGATGTCCCTGATGATGATATGAACCATGGCTAATCACAAACAATAAACAAGTACCGATAAAAAAACAAACAACATACACACATAAACAAATACATGCATTCAGAAATACACTAACAAAACTAAAATAACACGAACACACGTACGTACTAAAGAAAGACCAAAACGCAGAAACACCTAAATCAAGAAAGAACGAACTAACCAAAGAAAGACAAACAGAAGAACAACATATTAGCAAACAAGTAAATCAATCAAGACAGACATACAAAAAAACACATAAACATGAATAACTCAACACATAAGTATAACAAACTATATAAATGAATAAAATGAGCACACATCAATTAAGAAACAACTAACACAATTACACAAATAAGACATAAAGCAAACACACAGCAACCATCAATCAAACAAACAAATAAAACAACCAGTCAACAAAACGGCCCTATGAACAAACAAACAAACAAACAAACAAACAAACAAACAAACAAACAAACAAACAAACAAACAAACAAACAAACAATCAACAACACAAAACAAAATACACAAAATACACAAAGCAACCAGACAACCAGATTAGCAAACACACCAACAAACAATTCCATGCAAGCAATCGGGAGAGTACTTGCTCATTTGTTTCGGGATTCCCGAGTGTGAAGTGAACCTTGCGGGTAAGGGGGAAAGGAATCATCCGCAAAGGCCATCCACCTCGTTTCATGCGGGGTTAGCATCACCAAGGTTTGATACTGTGGATGGACGAAATCGAATCATCATTCTAGGGTTTCTTAGGTGGTGCAGGATTTTGTCAATCCCATGGCTCTGTCACCGTCAGAGTGAAGCAAACCCAAAAAAAAACTCAGGTCCCCCCGCTGGGCTTTTCTTTGGCTTTACACAGAAAGTAGCCAATTTTGAGGCACCATCTGATTCATTCTCCCTTTCGACGGGGGGCGTCCAAAAATGGGCCCGATCGGAAGGCCAAAGGAAGCTGTTCAATTTGCCCATCTCGAACGCAACTTGGCTGCACATGGCCACAGTTAAGATGGGTCTCGCAAGCTAGAGAGCTCATGAACACACAGGCTCCATTAAAATGATATCAACAAAAGCGCATGTTTTGACAAGGGAAACTATGCCCGGAAGTTGTTGACAACCCCTCAACCCAGATAGCGCGGGCACGCTTCCGACTCAATTCGTTGGGCCCCCGTGCCATCTCCTCAAAGTCCCTCCAATTGCTCCAGGATCCACAAATGCAATACTGGCATGCGACCCGAGCGACCCAATGCGAGGCAAATTTTGTCCGGGGGTAACATCTCTATTAGGCAACCACCAAAGAACTGGTGGACAAAATCCTGCATGAATGAACCCATGAATGCTGGGATAAGCCACCTAAGTAGTGTCAAACAGGTCTCGCATGAAGGGGCCCAGGGCGTCTGCCCCCAACGAAGGGTACCCTCAGAAAACACCCGCATGCGTCAGGCGTCACTGGACCGGCTTGCGACGGGGCACGGTGAAGGTCATGAAGCCGATTGCCATCCGCACGTGAAGCTGAGGTCTTTGGCCAACCGAGATTTCGCAAATGCACAGTGATAGTTCCCATGTCAAGGCCCCGGGTGATTTCCCCAACGAACAAATCCTGTCCGCGATGCCAAAACCAAGTGATGCCCATTCTTCTCACTGTCCGAAAATGAACAACCTCAAAGAACATGTTCCCCGCGGAGCAACCAGAGGGACTTCCCTCCGTAATCAAAACTGGAGTCCCCAACCCTGAGGTCCGCGGCCTGAAACCCAAGTCTTCGAAACCAAGTTCCAGAGAGCCTCCCAGCTTGGCACCTTGGCCCAAGGGGACAGAAACTAAGAAGCAGATTCTGCTTAAGATGTGTTTGTCTAGCCAACGAACAATTCTTGCAGACTTCTTCAGCTCCTCAGGGCAAAAAGCGAACCTTCCGTGGCAACCGGCCATCGTCCGCAACGATGGGCACGTCAAAACGCGCCAAAGGTAGGTCACCTCCCACACTCATCCACACCCAAGCAAACCCCACCCACACCCAAACTACACGCCTCTTATTTGCTTCTTTGCAGTTTCCTGGGTGGGTTACGGCTCGCAACATGCAACCCGACTAAGGGTTGGAGAATATCCTGCAAAAAGGGGCTGTCTGGAGATGGTAGGGCACTCTTCTGGACATGTCCCCCAAAACACGCAAAGACCCCATGTCCGAACGCATCTCTAGTAGATGGCCCTGGTAGATGATTAAACCACAAGGTAAACCAGGAATTGCCATCTATTTTTCTACCAAAACAACCAAAAAGGACACCTATGTCTCTAGTGCTTCATCTTCGCACTGTGAAAACAATTCGTGGCCTCAGAGGACTTGAACTCGCTCTCCAAGATCCCACCGCCTGGCGCAAGCGGCGGGCTGTATTCGCCCGTGGGCTCGAATATCTCGATGCGTCATGATGGTATCCGAGGTCTCGGACAATTGTTGACTTTTTGGGTGGACAAACTTTGAACAATCATGTCCCCATGTCTATCATCCTTGGAGCATGGATTGTGACTGCCCTTTGAGTGAGGTTGCCCTTTCCAAAAACTGCCTGCTTCCCCGCAGCTGGGGAAGCTCAAAAAGCGTGGCCCAACAGGTGCTGCTTAAACAACCATTTACTTTCTGTAGCCAAGGGCCGGCGGGCGCCCAAAACACACCACCCCGCAAAATATAACGCTTCACCAACTGAAAAAGTAGACACGCCCCAAGAAAGGAACCTTTGCTTTCGCTCACGCCGCAGTCTCCCTAGCGACATCGCATTAAATGCCGCACCGCGTGTCATGAACCAACAGTGCAGGTCTTACTCGCAAAAACAACGAAAATGGAACCCAAAGCGCTGGGCCGCCACCTGAACCTGATGCAGTTGGCCCAGAGACCTTAGGGAAACAACCGGGGGGCCCGAATGATTAGCATCAGTTGCATTGGTCATTCTCCGCTCGATTTTGTCCGCAGAGCTGCGTTCTCAAAGCTTGTTTCGTATTTACTCTCCCCTCACTGAACTCAGATCAAGTTGTTTTACGACCCTTTGAACAGGAAACGCATTAACCCCTAGGATGTGTAGAAGCCCTGTGCTGCTGAAGGGCCTCCTTGTATCTGCCATCTACAGCGGCAAACCATCAAAAAGTGCAAACCATGTTTGCAAAACACATAAAACATATTAAACACATAAAGCACAACATAAAGCACAGTACACATAAAGCACATATTAAACATTAAAACATACTCAACCGATCCCATGTTTTGGCGGGAATTCGAAGCCTCCTGGCCAGAAAGAGAAGGATGCCCTCAGCATCTTGGGCTTCACGATAGGGACCTCGTGCAAAAACACCGCCGATGTTTGTACAGAAAACATCCTGGGGGTTGAAGAGTGGGTGTGTCTTGGGCCACATATGGGCTCGTCCTTTTTGGAGGCTAGCCCTTTTGGCTTTGAAGGGAAACCGAAAGGAAAACCTCCCCTGGGGTCTGAAAAATGACATGGCCATATGGAACAGGATCAATACCCCAGCGTGTCTTAAAATAGGGGACCGGGACCCAACACGAGTGGTTGTTGCCTTTATAAAACCTTCAACACTTCCCAAAAGAGTACTCTGAAAAAAGGCAGAAACGAGTATGAGAGAGGTTGAGCAAATCAAAGTGTCCCTTTAAGCCCCTTTGTGGTTTACTTTAGGAAGCAACAAACAACCTGATCTTTTTTGTCTGATTTCATTTGGGTGGAAATGGACAACCACTCATGCTTCGAACATATAGGTTGCTGGGAATCATCACACATCCAGTTGGAAGGCAAGTTCGCTTCACCGCCAATCGGATAATGTGCACCAAAACTATGCCAGCACTCTCTAAGAAGGTGTCCCACCGCCCCAAAGCCACAACACCCAAGGACAACTTGGAGTACATGAGAACCAGGCAAAACGGAGTGTTGGCCGAGTAGAAAAGCCACTACAAAGGGAACTCTCGTAGTCCCATTCTCCTATGGGGTTGCGGAAACTCTCATAGAAGCACTATGCCAAAACTGACTGATGTCGCCACATCTTTCAGCTGTCACGGGTCGATGGAGATGGGGTGATGGTCAGATTGCAAAATCGAAAGGACCAAGCAGGATCTGCCTGGCATGTAACACGAGGCGCGGTGAAAACTATGTGTTGCCTGAAGAGCACGCGGGACAATTAGGGCTCGTCCATGTCCCTATACACAGCATTGATGTTGAACTTGGAGGAGCTTGGAGGGGAGTAGCTGTGCATGGCCCGTTTTTCTGTACACCCAAAATCATATGTTCAGATTCCGCTGCACTTTTAGCCTCAAATATAAAATCATTCGGGAGGGATTACAACCAGCAACATTGGTGGTAGTTTTAGTGCTGATCTGGGGAGGACATTGGGGGGTTCCTTACAAAACCAGGGGGCCTAACCCGATGAACCTGTTACTCATATGGGTGTCTCATTTTTTAGGAAGTTGTGGTTTTCCATTTGGTTTCCCTTTCAACAAGCCCCCCAAAGAAGGGTACCTTAAAGAAAGACGTGCCACCCATATGCAGGGGATTGTCATTGATCCATGAACTCATACTGTACTTTGCACCAGTTGGAATGGATGCCCGAAAAAACCGGTGTATTCCATTTACCAACTGGTGCGACATGGATTTCGTCCATCCACAGCATGATGTCTTTTTAGTGAACCCCCCAAAGCAGATTGCCTTGGAAAAAGACCTTTTAGGACACCCAGAAATGTTCGAGGGTCCCTTTAAGACAAATTTAGAACCCGACTGATGCAAGCGGCGCATCTCAGAGCGGAGAAGGGGCCCATCAGCTTTGGGGTTTTCCATTTGCCCAGCGCCTCTGGGCTCCAGTATCCAAAGCAACTAAGGGTTACCTGGCAGTGGAAGACCGCAGTTTCTGGGAAACTGGAAGGTCGTTGACCTGCTTTGCTTGCTCCTTCCAAGCAACGGAAAGAATCATCTTCACATGCCCTAAGACACATGGACACTGGGGGCGTATAAGACACATGGACACTTGGGGGCGTATAAGACTGGGAGTCCGTCCCTAGACAAGCCTCATGCGGGCCCGTTGGTGTGTCTTTTTTGAGGGATCCAGAAGAAAGCGTTGCCGGAAATTGCACCCATTTTATCCACTCCTGACCCGGGTAAATTACTAACCCTGGTGAAAAGGTCTCATGTCTCTGAATCAGGGCTTTTCAAAAGGACGGAGGATGGGGGACTTTCATGTTTCTACTTTGGCTAAGATACCAGCAAAAAGCAGGTCTGAATTATTGAAGGTACTTTTCGAGGCGGTTTAAAGAACAAACATGTTGAATCTGTTCTTCGCTTTTTTTGGGGGGTGGAGGGGGTGGGGGGTGGGGGGCGCATACCCAAACAATACATTCCCTAAATATCAACAAGAACATCAACCTGGTCCCCTTTCAACGAAGGAAATAGGCGAGGAGTGATAGGATGGTCATCTCTTCTTCATTCCTCACTTGGCTTCTCCCGGCTATGAACTGACTTGCCTTTGCCGGGTATTAAAGAGAAGCCAACTAAAGGAATGAACAACTTTGTCCTTCTGTCAGATGATAGTGGTGTCGCACTAGCGGATTCTCTGAGGGCGCAGCCCGTGTGCCATCGGCGCTGAACCAACAGATCAGGTTGATCTGGCGCAGGCTTCCATTTGCTTAAGCCCCCTTACAAATAAACATATTTCCAGTATAGTGATAGATTCCCTTTAAAACCAAGTGGGAAAAATGATGAAAAACTACTTTAAGCCATTAGAAGCAGGGGAAAGAAAGGCCAGCACAAATTGACAAAGAAACCAGCGCCTTCCTGACCCCCGTTTTAGGAGCTGGTTCCACTCATGTCAACATGGGTTGCTGCAAAGGGCCTGTAAGAATATGTCTTTGATAGAACCAAGAGATAGCTTCGGGGCACTCAAATGACGATTCAGCTGGAAACAAGGGCTCCAGCAAAGAATCTTCACAAGTGTAATCGCTTGACTCCAGTGTCACGAGCTGGTTTGTGCGAAATTCAACAGCCGGGCAACTTGGACTCGCCAGTTCAGCTCTTGCTGGTAGCAGGGGAACAGGAGAACCAAAAGGCAAAGAGCTACAGTAGAAAGTGGAAATGCGCTAAGTCTCATGTTCGCACCCATGAGACTGCCCCGTAGAGTTCCGAGCTACGACTTGATCCTTACTCGCGCGCAATCCCTTCGACAGACCATCCACCATGCGTCCAACGACATTCGCTCGGGGTCCGTTTGGAGGGGCCCCTGCCCAAAGTTGGGAAAGCCGTGGTATCCCAACAGCGACCCCCGGAGCCTTCAGAGACTCAGCTGTCAGCGGTAACTGGAAACCAGATTAAACCCATCCGACTGGACGTGTCACCAAAAGCCAAGGAGTCCCAATAAAAGGGGGACACCCTATGAATCAACCAGGGCTTCTGCTTAAGGCTTGGACTGCTGGTTTGGAAGTGATTTGGTGGCTGCTACAAGAACCAGAGGCTCGAATCCCCAAGCCGAAGGCTGGCCCGAAGAAAGGTTGAAAGCGCGCCGGGCGGCACGTTGGTTCCCCCCATGCCGCGGGTGCTCATACCATGGAAGGCCCGGCTGTCGCGGTAGGCGAGGGCCTTGCCCAATCCAAGAGGCAGGGCGAAGTCTGCACCCACCCACCCACCCACCCACCCACCCACCCACCCACCCACCCACCCACCCACCCACCCACCCACCCACCCACCAACCCACCAAGGTTGGTGGCACATGTTGCTGGGCCTCAACTCAAGCAGGAGCCTCCAACATTTAAAGACTTCGGATTCGAGTCTCCCACGAGGCAACCCGCTTTCATCCCCCCATCCAGTGCCCTTGAAAAAACCAACAGGGACAATAAACAAATTATGTTTAAGCAAATGGAAGGCTGGCCCAAGCCATCTGAAATGGTCAATATGTTCGAATTGATGAGCCCTTTCCTACAGTAGATGGTAAATCTGCTGACCCCTCTTGCTTTCAGCTCACTCCCTTCCAAACTATGGGCCATTCGTGAAATTTGGGGCTAGCTCAAGGAAAGCGAAGGAATGCAAAAACAACACCATTTGTTGAGGTTCGGTGTTTCAGGAATTGCTTGCAACCCACACCTCCTGAGATCCATAAACAAAGCTTCACTGGTTGATATCTTAGGCCCATGGTAGATGTAGCCCACCTCGTTCATAAATCCTCGGCTTAGGAAGTTCTAGCTTGGGAACATGCCCCCAAAGCGCTTGCTGCTGTTTATGCCAACTCCTGCTCCCAACAAATTTCTGTACCCATGACTTCCACTCCTGGAGATCGGCCCTTGGCAGAATGGTCTGGGGATGTCCGGTTGTCTTGTTTCACAAGTTGCCTTGCGGGGCATGCATCTTGCCAACAACCCTCATTGTCAAGTGGTAGGCGAAAAAGAGAACGACCGCTGTTTCCGACTTTTCACAACCCCTGGAATCAATATCATGGGGTCCAGTAAACAACCCATTTGAAGGTGGAAGCGGCCCAATTTGGCCCAAAGAAACACGACACCTTCCTGGTAATCGATTCTAAAGGGGGTTCCCCTCTCCCAAAACAAGAAGACATGAAATTGTTGAATGGTCTGGGAATTGGTCCCTGAAAGGAAAGGATGGGAACCCCCTATATGTCCGCTTCCCTTCAGAGCCACCAAAAAGAGTGGGCACCCTGCAAAAAATGCCTCATCCATTTAGTGGTTTATCCCAACTCACACATTTCACCCATCCACACTATCTATCAGGGTTCCGTTTGTTGAATAGGTAGGCTTGACCCCAGTTGCCCTTGGAAACTCCGGGTTAAAGACCGCCGGACGCGCCCACTCCCCGACGGGTCCAGGACCCGCCTCCGAATTGAAGCACACCGCAGCCTCGCCCAACCTGGGATGAACTCACCGGAGGTGCCACGAAAAAACGCGCGAGCGTGGTTATTTGCAAGCACTGCAAGTATACGGGGGTTGATCAATACTCCTGGCCCTCAAATGACCATGGGTAACTCTTCCCATGAACTGGGACATGTCATCTGTTGAGTGGTTTTACCCAATGGTCATCCCAAGTAAAGGACGTTGATCAACCCCCATATAAACCTTGGTAGGGGCAGTTCATGCTACTTTTCTGCTTGGCTTCGTCCCGCAACCCGAACAATTCCAAGAATTCCGGCTTCAACCCCAATGGCCAATCAATTTTTGGGCGACCCGGTGGAATGGAACTCCATCCCCAAGCGCCACCAGCGTACGCTGTTGGCATGAAAAGGCTCCTGACCGTTGCGGGATTCCACGACCACGTCCAGGCAGCATGCCCAGCCGCAGAATCATTCGAAGGCTTGTCCCATGGCATTCGAAGCGGCCGAGCAGATCACGCCCAACCTCATGAGTTTCACAGTCTACTCTTAGCTTGGTCATTCAAACCCTTAACCTAGGATCGGAATTATTTACCATTTGAGTCAAGGGCAAAGAGGTAAAATGGCTCCAAACGTCGACCCGGTCAAATTCACATGACAATTTTTGGAGGCCCATCTCTTTGACCATTCCGAATGGAATCCGTTCCAAGCGCTGGGCTCTATGTGTGGGTTGAGCTGCTTCAAGTGGATGGTCGGGGCCTGAGTGCGCGCCGACCCGCGTCAAATGACAATGTGAGGATCCAGCTTCTGGTGGTTTTCCTTTGGTGCCCCTTTAAACCAACCCCAAAAGGGGTGCCCACAAAAAAGACAGCCCCATATACACTGTGGATGGACAAAATCCACTTCGCACCCGGGATGGATGAAACTCTATGAACACGGGGATAAAGCACCTAGAAACTGATAGGGGACCCCAAACCAATCCGCGAATCGGTAAATCTGATAGGGGGCCGCTAAAAACCGAAACCGACTCGCGTTACTATTGTGGATTGCCACGTTTGCCAACCTGACCCAATTCATGACCATGGATAAAACGTGCGAGCTGGACATATCACTGATCAACCCAGACTGCAATAATTGGCCATGGGAAGCCAAAACACCCTTTGTTTGGTAGTGCATTTTATTCAAAGGTAACCCCCGCTCCAAAAATGAGGACACCCCCTTCCAGAAAAAAGGACTCAAGGGGAGTCAAAGGTGAACTCCGCTCCAAAAAGAGGACAAGTGTATTTAAATGAAATCCCCCTTCCGGAAAACATGGCTGGGTCAGCCCCGAATGCTGATCTGTGTGCCCGGCATTGTTGGCCAGGCTAATGTTGTACAGCACCTGTGCCGCCGAAAAAAGATTCCAATCCGAGAAGCCGGTCCAACCTGGATCAACAACCTCAGAGAAATCCATTGCTAGATCCCTCAAGCGAAGTCCCTTCAAGTCTGAAAGCAGTCACTAGTGATTCGGCTCTCCACGAGTAACAAAAAGACATTTCCGACATTCGAATCATTCTCTGGAGAGTGCATAATAAAGTCTTATTTATGCCAGCAGCAACAGCCATCCAAAAGAAATATCGAGCTGACAGCTGAGTTGCTCCAATAAATAACGGAACACGTCTGGACTCCAGACTGCAGGTATAAAACGGTCTGGATCACATGCAGTTTCCGGACCATTTGAATCTAACTGCACCCACGAATAACAAAATGCAAGTGGAATAAGTTGTCCAAAGCCTGAAGTTAAGGGACCGCCCAAGTAAAGGACCATCATGGTGAGCTCGTTTCAAGCTTTCTATGAGTTCAGCAAATACAAACATATTCTATAATATGTATGCATATGGGCCACAGGAAGCCAAAATGCGAGTTTCTTTCCGCGTGAATTTGGGGCACACACCTCAATTGAGCCTTCTGGCAGGACGCTTTGACTGAAAACCCCGAGAAGACGAATTGGCTCCTTGAGAGGAAGATCAAGGGAAGGCCGCTACTCACAATTCACTCGCAATCTTTGGGAAATCCACGAAGCACACCTCCATTTGCTGGTTCACAGCAGGGAATGACCGAAAGGAATGTACCGTCCCTTGTCCTCCGCTTGGATCCTTGAAACTCCTACTGAGAACCAATAAGTGATGCGAAAAAGGATCACTGCTTTGGGCTGGCGGAGTTTGAAGGGATTCGACAAGCGACATTGTAAGAATTGCAAGAGATCGTAACCATCTGAGACTGTTTTGCTTTGAGAGAACCCTTTTTGGGTTGGTTTCAAATATAACCGGGAGATACCGGGAGGAAACAACACACTTTGGAGGTGCCCCAATTTTGAGACAAACCCAATTCGTGTCTACCAAAGCAACAAACAGAAAGCCAAAGGTGACAAACAGAAAAAGAGCCTTGCATTGTAAGTTGAGACGTCCTCGCGGCCCACCCATTCCGCCTTCAGGAAGCTTGTTATTCCACAGGCCTCCTGCTGCGCACCCACCTTCGACGTTGGGCTAGGCAAGCCGAGTGGAGCAGCCAAAGTCGAAACTTGAAGCGGAGACAAAGTGCTCCTGTAAGAAATGTGGGCGTATGCCTGACAAGCGACGTTAGACGTTTCTGCATCCGTTTTCCCTTTGGACATCTTTAGACTTGAACAAAGGTGTATGGAAGGCCCCGCGAAATCGATTTTCATTGTTCGAAGTTTCATCACCCGAGGTTACCGGGAGGGCCCCGTATGGTTGATTCTGTTCCATATGTGAACTGAAAATAGGATTGGCCACTTGATTGGGAGCCCTTTGTGGACATGGTTTATCTCGTGATTGATTTCCAGCGATCAGTTGTGTTGCCTTTCTAAACAAGAAGCGTGGACAGCATGCGTGCGAGGGATGGAAACCCATCACACCCTTGTTTCAACAGAAGTTCCATGTAAATTTGCTCGGACGCATGTTGGTAAGCCATCATCCTCAAGTTGTTCCTTCCCTTACTGCTCCCAACATCTTCCGCCCCCAAAGATGTTCCGCGTTGCTTCTGATTTGTGACTCCCGCTTACCCCAGAAAGGTGTGGAGGTCCCCAATTCCATTTTCCAGTCGGGGTGAAGGCCCTCCCATTCCCGACTAAAAGGGGCACACTGATACTCCCCTGCTACTTGACATGGAAGCTACGAAGGGCATTCCCCAAAGGACGTTGCTTGTAAAGTGTCAATGATTTGGTTCGTGGGTTGTCCATGTACATCAAAGGAGTGCCATGGCACTTCAGTTCACGGAACCCCATTGAGTGTTCAGCGCCCGGCGTTGGTCTTCACACCACCCAGGATCAGCATCTCTCGATCTCCGCCTCGGCTACAACGATCGGCCCGAGACCAAAAAGGGATTTGGACAGTCAAACTGCAGGTGTGCTTGTGTTTCCCAAGCTACACAACTCCTTGCGTAGCCCATAGCCATAGCTGCCAGATAGGGAACCATTGCAACGGTTGTCCAACGCAATTTAATGGGGTTCATCAACACCCCCCAACACCCCAAGTTAAGCCTTTGATTTACGACCCAAAGACGGGCATGGAAAACTTATGTCACGTGGATGGCAAGCGACCTTCCCATGTGGGTGTCAAAATATGGGTGCCCCCAAAATGGTGGTGCTCCCTGAACACCAATCCCAAAAAGGGACCCTCAACCAAAGGCACACCCCGCATTGCAGCTCAACCTTTCTAGGCAATCCTGAAGGCCTTCCAACCAGCTCTCCCCCAACGTATGGTCCAAACTCCGTCAGCACCTACCGAGCCGCGCGCCTTCGCCCCCTCTGCACACGGTGGCAGCGGAGACAACCTCGCAAGCGCTGAAAACACGACAAACATCCAACTCGAGAAGGCCGCCTCCGCAAATTTGATCTGATGCAACCCCCAACAAAAACACCCATTTCGAACATTCCACGTCTCGGGGGGGAAGTGGGGGACCCCAAACATTGCAACATATTTCTTTTCTGGGGGTAGCCCTTGAAATGTTTGAACTAGGGCGGCGTGTCTGCGTGGCATGAATCCGTGGGAAGAAAGCCCCCAAGCGAACCTTCGTGGGTCCTCCGGCGAAAAAACACATATTTCGTGAGGTCGGTAGGCTTCGCCAGTAGATCACAAGGATATGATTCTAACTTGAAGACCCTTTGGGGACAATCTACAAAGGGGCACAAGCCATTTTTGGGGCATTGAACCAAAGACAGACCCACATGGGCATCTCTAACCGCAAAACGACTGCCATGAAGCCCGGAGCCTCCACGCCATCTGAGAGCAGAGAGCCAGCAGCGTGACACCTCGGAAATGGGTCCCGTTCACGCTGCTTGGTTGGCATTAGGGGAGCAAACAGTTTAACATTGAAAATTTAGCAGTTTAGTGGGGACTTCCGACTAAACCACAAAAAACAAAAACGTAAAAATGCTCCTCAACAACAACCATGGCTAAATCAGCCCAGGTGGTATCTCTATCAGCCCGAACGAATAGGGGAACCCTCCCCCGAAAAGGATGTAAAAGGATGTAAAAGGGCACTGGGGGACCTAGCTGTCCAGTCAGCGGGGGGGTTATAACCCCAGGGACGTCAACCAATGACTTCTGTGCATTTCCAGATTGGTTTCAAGGAGAGCTCCAGACTTTTGTAAGGACCCCCTACACAGCCTTGCCTTGACGATGGGGGGCAAAAAAAGAAAGGACGCGGGATTTTTTCGGTGCAGGGCTCTTGGCGAGTGGCTCCATGGCATCCAAGTCCAGCGGACTGATGCCCGCGTGCCGAATGGCGTCCGCCACGGCCTACCGCGAAGTGAGTCGCTGGGCTGGTTTCGGGGGGCTAAGGCCCGGCTTGGGGTGAAGGGAAAGCATAGATTCCCAAACCCATGGGGATTTTTGGCAATGGGTTGAAGAATGGCAAAGAAGGTGTATTGTAGCCCTAGGTTTAAGAATGGCTGTGAAGGTTTGTGTAGCCCTTGCTAGGGTTTGACTCAGCTGCCCTCTAGTTGAGCGCACGAACAACATTGATTTGTGGTTCTATCGACATGGCCATACAGGTTTCTACAGTGCCCAACAGGGGATCGGGCACGTTGGCCGCTTAATTGGTGTTTTGGACTGATGGTTTGGTTCCCCCTTTGCCTTATACAAGAACCAAGGAATCAAATCCCCACGAATAAGTAAGGGTGTTCTGAAGAATATTGGTAAAACGGAAACATACGTTCAGCACAACTGGTGCAATTCAGTCCATTAAAAGTGGGCCGGCACTTGAGTGGTTTCTTAAAATTGTTCTTTGGGGTGTCCCTTGCTTGGGCGTTTCTGGGATTGGGGGGACTCTACTGTTGGGATTGGGGTCCTTTGGCCAAGGCTCCCTTTGTTTCAGCTTGTTGGATGCGCCTGTACATGTCCCTTACAACATGGGTGAGGTTCACCTCCCATAAACGACGTTTTGGTTTTTAACAGTGAAAGGGGCGGTGTTCGGATCTCGCTCCACTGCCGGTTGAGGTTTGAGGGGCTTGCGGGAAGAAGAAATCTTCGGGGCTAGCGACTCTTCCGGCGCATCGGGCAAACGCGGCAAAGCCGAAAATCGCTCAACCCCACTTTTGAACTTAAAACTTTTTCCTCCTTTAGGTATCCCTTACAAG